CGCTTCTCTTCTCGTGTAAGATGATAGTATTTGAAGGACGAACGTGCCCGACGCGCCAGTCCCGCCAGTTTTATTTCTGACCAAGGTGAAAAAAGTAATATCCAAAATCTTACGTAAAATTCCGATACATTTACCGCGACATTTTTTGCGCAACAATAAAACTTCTAATCGTTTTAACTTAAAAAAAAAACTGTTTAAATAAAATTAGCATAATAAGAATATATTCATAAAATCTACACCGCTATTTTACAGACCACTCAATTTCTAATTTACAGATACTCAATCAGTCGTAAGTAAAAAAGATTACAGTGGGTTTTCTTTTATTGTAAAAAATATAAAAATTGTAAAAAATTTTTAATTTATCGAATATAGAATATATATCTGAATCTTCTGTTGTAAGACTCTGGAAGTAAAGTAGAAAAGTAATTTCGAAAACATGATTATTTATATACTCTGGTGTAAAATGTATCCTGTACTGCAATATATTGCGCTCGCGATGCAAAACCACTTTTAACTGGCTTATAAATCAACCAAACAACTGCGAACATTCCTAGAGAAAACCTGCTCCTTAAATTAAAAGTTCGATCGTATGTGCGGTTGCTATATCGCCCGTTCCTAATAAATCGCACACGTACATATCTTCATAGGTAACTCTTTTGTAACGAGCTATAATGCCGTTGATTCTCTTCCGGATAAGATATATACGTGTAAAGACTCTACAAATTGATCTCCGTGATCTGTCTCGAAAAAAAATTCGCGTCTTACGAACACAATTGTTAGAGAACAACGCGCGCGGTTAATATAACGCACACCGATGTTTTGCACATAACCGTTAACAATAAAAATAACATCATGACTTATACATATGTATCCAATTTACTGCGACAAAAGTAATCCCGTGGCTCTAGATCATCGAACTAGATATCGTGTCGAGTGACAGGACAAAGGACAGAAACAAAGACATGCAAAAACGCGGAGGCGTACGGAGATCAGCTCTGGACAACCGCAGTAGCCGTAAATTATCGGACCTAATGGCGCACAACAAACGCTCGGTCCGTACTTGAAGCTCGTAATGTCCGTTCACGCCAGCCTAATATCGTTCGTAGCATTTAATAAATATGTCGCGGTGGCAATACGTCATAACTTTTACACGCATGTGTGCGTGCGCGAGCATATGCATGGCTGTCGCGCAACGTGACATCGTTGAGTTACATAATGCTCAACTCGGACGCTTAATCGCTACACAATGTTGCCGACTATAGCTGTGTCTCTTCCCTCCGTCTCTCTTTAATGCTCTCTACGCATACTGATAAAATAGACGCACGTGACGAATACGTAATTTCACTACAAACGCCCGCGCATCGTACATTTTCATTAGCACAAAAAGCACCGCTAGATTAGAATCTCGAAACATTTCGCAGATAACTCATATTTGTAGCGTTTATCGACGTCAAACTATCACTTTCTTTTATCGATCGCTTAATTTAACAATTTTACTTTCCAACGAGTTACACTTGTCAGCGTATATAGTACGATAATTTATGCAAATATATCACAAGTTATCTAAAAATATAAACATACAATGTGTAAGGAAGTCAAAAGCCGAGGTTAAACATGCTAGGCGCTTAGGCGAACAGCTATTGGAAATACAATAGGAAGAAACACAAATAGGTAGAGAAAGCTGAACATAATTTACCTGTCTACAACTTTCCGACCTTTCAAAAGAATCGCTTGGCAGTTGTGTTACAGAGAAAACTTCTTAATTCCGAAGTCCTTTTGCCTACTATTCCATATATCTTTCTTGACTTGCGACATGTATCTTTTAATACGTTACCAAAGTTTGTTCGATACTCTTACGGATTATTTCGTAAAGTCTTTTCGTTAATATCTACATGTAAGGAATTATATGAAATTTTTGCGTTATAAAAATGTTGTTACATTTTAAACAAATCAAATTGCATAACGCGTGTTATAAAAATTTTATATTATTATTATTTTTTTAAACTAATTTATTACAACAACAAAAAAGAGATCAGTTACTGTACGAATATCACAGCTTGTTAATAAGTTTTTTTATTTGTTAAATAATGATAGTAAGAGAAAACCGCCGCAAGAATGTTGTTCCAGTGATGAAGGAATTCATAAAGGCATTGTGGTCAGGTCGCAGCCAAGAGTGGCAGGTGCTGTCCATAATGGCCGCCCCATCGAGGCAGACGAGAAGAACGGCGAGGGCAAGTTGTCAGTACAAAAAACACTATGTGAGTTATGGACGTGGAAGACTATCGGTAATATCAACGAACCTGATACATCGGTGTGTATTAATTGAATATCGACGCGTCAAGTGTGTCTACTCCACAGATAGCATTACGTACGTGAGATGAAAGAAAATAAGAAGTGAACAAAATGAATCGCCTCAAGAATATGTTTCGTGCTATTATCGACAGCTCGAAATTTGGGAGCGCCTTATAAATCGAACGACCTTCTCAATAATTATTTCCACTAGCATTGCGATAATAATATAAAGATGGAGCGTTATGTCAATCCTAAAGATTAAAAACAAAAGTTTTTAATTAATGTACAAGATGATAATTCATATTAAAAAATTTTGTTTTGTGCTGTTATATAAAAAAAAAAAATTATAACTGAAGTACACGTGTAAGTTCTTCATTACGTGTAAATTCTAATGTTTCCATTGTGAATATTCACTTGAGTAAGTACGTGATATTGTTATCCATAACCGACAGGCAAGAACCGTGAAAAACGTGCTCAAGAATGTTTCTTTCATTCAATTGTTTCGCCGTGTACTCATCTTTTCTTGCAGCCACAGCCAAGCTATCGCCTTTGTCTTGGGGGTGTACTCATTTCGATCGTCGAGCAACTAAACTAAGTTCTTCATATCTATAAAAGCAACGAACTTTGAAGCAACTAAGTGAACAAAATATATATAGACATGTGAATAGTCTATATATGGAGAGAAAACTACACCTTAAATGTTAGGTCTTTTGTATGCTAATATCTGATATTGATAGTATATATTTTCAAATCTCTGATTGAATATTTGAAAAATAATGTGCTAGAAGTAGAGAAAAATTTGAGATAAGTATTCGAAATTATAATAAAATAAAATTAACAAACAAAAACAGGTGTTATTTTGAATAACAGTACAAAGACCTTGGCTAGTTAACTGTTCGAAACGAGCCTTGACGGTGACAATGTACGAGGATTAATATCGACCGCTAACAATAAATTTCTACGGCATGAGATTTGCAAAACGGCCGGGTAGCGTACTGCTGTTGTTGGTATATAAAGTCAGACTAGCGTACGGGTTGTACATGCGAACAGCTCGTTCATCAAATTGAGAACCCAGGCAGGCAGCCGCTACGCTGGCGGCGCGACGTAGCGATCAGCGCCTCGGCGCCTCGTGCGCGTTACGCTTATGCTCACGTGTCTACGCTTTTTTCATCATAATTCGCAGACAAGAGGGATATGTATATAACTCCTTACCGCGACGGTTACTAGTGTGTATCACGACAATTATGTTTCTTCGTCAAAAAATATTTCGCGAAAAAACGGAACAAACATATCGATCGAATAAAAAAAAGTCACAAATAAAAATGACATTTTATACGACATTCGCGATAAATATTGTCGTTTGAATGTTTTGAACTTATTTTGAAATTATCTTCGATCGTCAAAAATCGAATGGAAAAGGTTGTTAGATATTGAAATCTCAAGATTTCTTCTTAAGATTTCTTCTTTTTTTTGAAAAGTTCAGTTTGATCATGCATTCTGTGTCTCTCGGTTCTATTGTATAATTATTTTATTATTATGTAAAAAATAAAAAAACTTAATAAAACTTAATTTAATAATAAAAACAATAATAACGAGCTTGCTGAAGTCCTTCAAGAAGCACCATGCGGGTTAAAATTACTAGTTACGAAAGGAAGAAGCGAGACGTGGGACAGGATGCGAGCGATACGATCGATCAAAGATTATACCTTAAGTCGACCGCGAATAACGTGATTGGTCGCACGGCGATGCTTAAATTAAAATGCGAAAGGTATTCACGATATAGGTACTCGATATCTGTGCGCACGTTTGAGCTGATGGCGCCCGACGTTAGACTTCAAACTATAACGTCTATCTATCTTCGCTTGACTATATCGTTTATTTTTCTTGCTTCGTCGATGGTGGTAGGCCGCGATGATTATGAAAATTGTCGTGTTCCTGCTAATCGTAGATGACGCCTCGTGACGTTTCAGTTCTTAGTTTTACGTATTTTAATCATATGTAATCTTCTAATAATTTACAAGACTGAAGTTTTTATTAAAAAAAACAGAAAAAATATCAGAGAATTACGATTGTATAACGCTCAGCAGTCATGTCGATAATTAGATTACACATTAATTTATCATAAATTAATGTGTAATACGAATATCTTTAATAAGACAAATTGTTCGAATATCGACAAATACGAATATCTTTAATAAGACAAATTGTTCGTATTATTTATTATTACAGCCAAATAAATATATCACCCATCATATCATAAATTTAGAGGTTTTATAGGTTTTTCTGTTTTATTTGTGTTACGCTTCTGGAATTTATTAGATTTCTTAAATCTCTAGAAAAACAAAAAACATCTATAAATAAGGGTACGACGATGAACAAGTTGCGCAATAAAATTAACGGTACATGACATCAAAGGAAACAATACCTTTACCTATAAGCTACCTTTACCTACCTATCTATTGTGTTGCGTCTGCTGTAAAAAACTTTATGAGCTTTTTTTTTCGAAACGTTGAGAGATGCAATATATCGTAAACATGTGCCGTAAGTCGAATAATATATTACTGAACTACAAAAAAAAAAAAAAAATAAATTTAATGCTTTTTGTTTGTTTTCTTTCTGTCTATCTTATAGTAATGATATTTCTAGTATTTGTTATCACACACACATGCAACACATTAAAATATAAAAGAACGCATATATTTTTTTAGAAGACTCTGATGTTTTTCGATTGAGCAGTACGAAGGAGCGGCGGGCGTGGAGAAGGGAAAAAGGGCGTAGTAAGTCATACGGAGAGGCTCGTACGTCATGTTTCATCCGGGCCAACGGGGCAACACACGGAAAGGACTCTCCCCGTATACGATGAACGCACTCAGTTGGTCTGCCTCTTTAGGTCGCGACACCACAGTGTGAGTGTCTGTGCAACACACATGCCCGAGTCTTTCGTACACCTTTATACACGGTCGAGAACCACTTGATCACCGGTGCACAACATGCACGCCTATATCGACGCATATCTGTCATACAATCTTTTAATAGAGTACGCAAAAATTGATTTTAAAATACGTGCTGTTATGCAAAGATAAGACTTTACCGAAGCTCACTCTTTTTTTTTAATCGCATTTCCCCTTCTTCCGTTTAATCACTTTTGATCTTAATTGCACAGGTGCGAACGTCGAATGTGACATGTATAATAAAATATCTTCACTGACAAATGAAGGGAGAACTTTCTTTGCTCCATATTACTTGCAAAAATAAATTTATGTTTGTTTAAACAAATTAAGATAATAAATATATATATGTATATTTTGTGGCAAGACGATGTTAATAAGAGAAATTTAAATGAAAAAAAAAGAAATTTGAATTTGTGTAGAACTTCGGTATGTTTGTGTTGCGCAAAAAGGAATCCTTGCAACACACGGCGGAGATCGGAGCTGATTTTCGTCGATACGAGAGTGGAGAGCTGTATTACCGACAAAGTCTCACAAACGGCCATAGCAGCGAGCGTGGGGGTTCACGAGAAGGAGGGATAAACGAGCCAAGCCACGATTTCGTTGTCGTAAACGTCAAAGTTACGGTTACAGCGTTGTTCCTAGCTGCTTTATATTGAACGAGGTTGCTCCCCGAGGTACGTAACACCTACTCGCAACCGTCGTATTGTAGAAAGTAGCACTCCTTTCCAACTCAGGGAACGATGCAAGCAACCACGTGGCTTTTACGCGGGAATCCGGCAGATGAGTTCAAGGTTCGCTGAATATCTCTAACCTCGTATCGCGCACAACTGAATGAAATAGTCACTTAACTATTATTACGTTTTCTATTCAATTTCAAATATATTATATGTTTTGATTTATTTTTCTTGAAATACAGATTTTTGTTACACGTTCTGTTATAAAATATAAAATTGTAAATAAAATTATTAAGATTTATATATTTATGTATATAATATCCCTCAAAAATTTGTAAAGAACGCAAACTCTCTTCCACAACGGAAGCTACAGAGTTATTATTGCCAAGTATGTCCGCTCTTAAACTTGTTTATCTCGATTAATATTCGCGACTCGGGTTATCGTGCAACTCTTAATGTAACTTTAAAAGGGCCATTTTTCAGACCTACACCGTTAAAAGACATTCTCTCTCAATAGACTTGAATGAAGAGACGTCTAAATAGCACCCCAGCCTCTATCGCGCCCTCTAATTACCCCGTAGACGCAGTCACCCCTCAATGAGGAGTGATAAATATTACGTTTGGGTGTGTATCCTGAGAAAGTGATCCAGCTCTATAGAGAAAGATATATTTTTCATTGCTATTGATGAGACTCGCGAGCTCTCTATTTAGAAGAGTGATAGAAAAAATTTCCAATTGTATCAGAGAACTTCTTCGATAATTTATGTATTTGATTTAAGCATTGTTTACTTATAGTAAGATTCAACGAAATATGTAGCAATAAAAAATATAATATCTTCTTATAAGTAATTTAAAAAATGTTCTTAAATAACAAGCTTTTTTTCTTTCTCTCTTCATGTCTCCGCCTCTCCAGCCCTCTCTCCTCTTTACTGTGTATCATAAGATAGGGACATGGGCGCCATACTTTCATAATTATGAATTAAACAGATAATCGCTCGCGCGATCGGTTATAACACACTTCCCATGCACAGAGATAAGATTAGAGATGTAATAAATTAAGTGACAGTAAGACAGTAATTTATATTGGCATGCACTCCAGCTATATAATTAGCGTTGCCGATAAGTATTTAAGAAATGAATAGAGACAATAAGCACACCTAGTTATACATCAATTTTTACCGTCTTGCAATAACGAAATGATAAGATTTATGATCTCTTGCACATACGCGCACACGTACAAACACATTATTACATAGAATAAGTTATTTTAAATTAATTATGTGATTATATACACGCATTTTACATCATGCGTATTTGAGAAATTCTCAGCAAGTTATTTAAATCTATCGTGAAACAAAATCATGTTTATCATATCATATGATAAAAAAAATCTTAAACAAGGAGGGATTGTTCATTAAAGGTACATTATTTAAGTCTCTGTAAAATTATTTTAATTGTAAAATTATTCAGATTACGTCCAATGTAAACAAATGTAAATACACAAATTTCAGTCCACTGAAGAAGGTTTAAAATAAAACCGAAACGCTTGGAAGAAAGATATCGATTTCTAATTACTCGCACAACACCCTGCATATCGGTTCAAACTTGCCCAAGGATCAAAACCAAGAAAAAAAATCTTGTCTATGTGTAAATAAAAGCATTTATATTATTTACATCATATAGTAATTATTAATAGACTGGCAGTTCTTTTTGTTTATAACCACACTTTATTTTAAAATTAAAATTAGAAAAACAAAAAAAACTATTGTAATTCTATACTGATACATTTTTTCTTATATGCTCGAGTCTATCAATAATAACACTAAAAAAACCAGCACAAAATAAGTCAACGACTCTCAATCCGCAAGTACATAGAACCTGTTATGCGAGTATGTGCGGTCGATCAATTGTCTTTTCCCATTCCTGCGATTCCTCCTACGAACATCGCATTCTATGTATCATCGAGGTCATTTGCAATCCAATCAATGACTCAAAATATTCAATTGATCGAATGATTTGAATAAGAAGCAGGTTTTTACATTCAGGAACGGCGAGTTGAATGAATAAATAAAATAATAAAGCTAAATTGTCATTTAAGTTATTACTTCCTTTACGAAAAGAAACGCGCGTGTTTTGTAGACACCGTGTAGACTATAAAAAATTTATAGAATAGTATCTAATGGCCCTCTTAAAAAACACTGTGATTTCTTCTCCTGCATCCATAAAATTTCTTACGGTCAAAAATGAAGAAAAAAAAATAGGTGACCCTTAAACCGGTCCGAAGAACGCGAGGAGCAAATTCCCGCCATAAAAAATGAAGGAAGAACTAGAGGCGACCTAGAGCAAAGAAAAAGGATGGCAAGAAAGAACTGCTAGCTGGAAAGATCTCAGCTGAGCCATAGTAAAACAGTTTGAATAAAAGTAGCGGCAGAAGAGAACCTATGAAGGATTGATGATTACGTATCTAAACCAACGGCAAAGCAGAAGGTTATTCGAGAATATCTCTCTCGCAATGAGAAGGACGAAGATATCGCTAGAAACAGCTGACTACCGGAATTCGGGGTTCCGGTGGGGTGAGTACAGTGGGGAAGGCACTTGAACCCCCAATTGGACTTCCCCATTATACTCAGCGTGCCCAACGATTTTACACGCACTTGACTCCATTCTACCTATCTACCAGACATAATTTTGCCAAGATACACAGCCGATTTTCCGCGACATAGCGCCGCGAGCGTTAATAACATTACACACACATAAAAATAAAAAAACTCATAAAATTTATATTACGTGCAAAAACATCGAAATAAAAAAATCTTAAGAGTTTAAAGCAGTGATCACAAGCGCACATTTATTTCTCACAGTCATTAATGTCTCATTACGTGAAACTTTATGTTCGACTAATAAGATTGCTAGTTTTTTATTAAAAAATATTTTGAAACATATATTATTATATAAGCAGATAAATTCTCCAAACACGAAGTTGTACACGTTTTTGTATACGTCATATTTATTTACGATCAATCTTTTTGCAAATATATTTTTTGTACTCGTATACTATTTTGCCACAAAGCAATGCTACGGATTTAAATGGTCAACGATTGTAAATCTGACGTCTCGGGTTTATGACGGACATGTTGTATTTCAAAACGACTCACAAATAGACTTTGCAAAAAATTTCACTGCGTTCGGCAATAATATTACGATAAGCCACATTCGACGAGCGGGATATATCTGCATCTTCCGTTATTTTAATTATTTTTTTTTACGAAAAGATGACAAAATAACTTTGTTCTATTCGCGCGGATGCGATATAAAATACTTCATCGGAATATTTATTCATGTAATACTTTTTGTTTTATAATCTCATTCCGCGCGCAACTTTCTAGGTAATTTGATCGTGTAGAAGCAATTTTAACAATTTAGTCCGGTATAACCAGACAAGCAAGTCTGATCCACCACGCCTTTCCGAGCACGTGGTCTTCGTTCCCCACGTTTCCCCTAACCATAGCGACTCCTATATTTCATCGCGGCTGTTATGATAATAGTCGTATAAGAGAGAGCATTTATGAATGCAAACTCACCTGCTATAGCCATCCAGGGGTAGAAGGTATGATTGGTGGTGGGTTGCTGATGCAGTTGCGTGGCGACCGGTTGACTCGCAGACGAATTTAAACTGCAGGTGTTCCACGACGTGAGGGACCTTGAGGAACTGTTAGGACTCGATGCCGGATCACCACCTACCAGTCCTCCGTAACTACTAACCCTTGTACTCTCGGGAGTACACGCGGAAGGGCGTACGACCGAATTACTCTGGCTGTTCGCTCCCGAGGTCGCTGACTGCCAAACGTCCTTGACCGCTGCTGCTGCCATTACCGCGGCATAGCCGTTCTGATGAGTTGACGTTTGATCTTGCTGCTTACAATCTTTCGTCGCTGTTGTTGAATACGAAGACGTGGTATGACCGGTTGCTTCAGGTGTTGTCGAGTAAAGCTTGCAGGCCGTCGCAACGCTCGCATCATACGGCGAGTCCTGAGGTGGTCTTGTATTGCTTCCACCGCCTGGATGTATTCCTAGTGACGACGATGTGTGGTGATGATGTTGCGTCGAGGCGTACGGCGACATACCCAATCCAAGGGGAAAACTTCGATACGCCGCTGCAGTAGCCGGATCATGATGCTGACTCGCCGCTCCTGTTTGATGATGGTGGCTTCCATAGAAGCCGCCTGCAGTCTGCTCAAAGTACGAGTTCATTATCCCGGGTATCTTGAATCACTTGCACTAAACACCGGCACTCAAAAAAAAGAGTGACAATGACAGTCAGATCAGACAGCGCCTCGGCAGTTACATGAAGTGCGCGCGACTAATTAAATGTCACTGATCCCGTACTCCAACTTAATAAGATATAATCTTGTAAAATATTAAATCTAACTTCTCCGAACTAAACAAAAGTCAATTTATCGCTTGATGCGAATAATGATGAGTGACAGATGACAACGTATAGACGAGGTACAAATAACTGAGCATCGGAACGTTTTAAGAGGTCATAAAAGTCATCGGCAGGTATAACCGGTTACCCAAAGTGTCAATGTCAGTAGGCCGTAGGAGTGTGAATGGGTTCCATGATAGCAGCGGGAGCTTTTATAGTCTTGTTATGCTTGCCGTTATAGGCGAAGCATAAACCGGTGGTCTGGACTATGGAAGCAGACGATGATCGTTAAACCGTTACGATGTAATAAACTTAAGGTAATAAGACAGGCTATAAAATTGCCTGTGGGTCTCTCTACCGCGTGCGCGCCCGATGACGGTTCGGTCAGCCGGCACGCGACAACCACCCTCACTAGAGAGAGTATGTTCTTCTTTTTTTAAAATATATAATTCGCGATCTGTCAAAGTCTTTTGACAAGTCAGACGATCTCTACCATATGAAATCAAGAAATGATTTCGCAAGTCTGCACACTGCACTAGCACTTGTCGTATTGTGACTCCGCTGATGACTGTGAGAGTTCGAGTACGAGTCAGACTACGATGGAGATCGTAACGAATCACTGTATGCCAGTGCGGTGGTCCACGGCACACTACCGCTTTTCTCGCGCCCCGTGTACCGCCACTCTGTACCGTCGTCCGTCTCTTGCTCGCTTATTCACCTCGTTTTGTCTCTCTTCTTCATAGTCGACTTCTCTCACGCTCTCCCCAGATTTTCCTTCTCCGTTTCGCCAGGCGGTCGTTCCTCCTCGCACTCACTCTTGTTCCGTCTCGCTCACTCCTGCTCCGTTCGCGCGGTTGCTGCTTCTCTCTCGCGCATACTCTTCCTCCGGAGTACTACGTCCTAACGGAGCAGCACCTATTTCCCTCCTTGTTTCTCGCACACCGTATCCCCCTCCTGGTGCGATAACCGAGTTCTCTCGCTCGTCGTTGTTGTTCCCCTCTTCCACCCCCAATGTTCCCCCCTACAATTGCTTTCACCCTTTGATTCTGTCTCGCTCCACCTCTTGACGATATTCGTTCTCTCCCTTCTATTCGATTAATCCTCTCTCTCTTTCTCACGGAATGATTCCTCAGCGCTCCCTATCGAGCGTTCTAGTAACTCAACGACAGTACCGCCAGATTAAATTCGTACTCGCTCGCCGTGCGCGTCACATTTGAGGCGCGCGCGAGCAGATAAGACGGTATAAAGAAAAAAAAAAGAAAGAACTTCGTCGCGCGTCGCGAAAGAAGGAGAAAGAACGAGATAGGAAATAGAAAGGGATAAGAACACGCGAAGACACGAACAGAAGCGGATAAGAAGGTGGGGAAGAGAGAAGTAAAGTGGAAAAGAAAGAACGTTATGCGCAATTGCAACAGCTAAGAGCGAGACGAAGCGGAGCACAAGCGTCGCTATAGAGGCAAAGAGGGAGAACGTGCCGCTAAGGGAGGAGGTTATACTTAAGGACCAATCAGAATTGAATTCGTCACGAATACCGCGCTAGTATGGCATGAAAGTTCCTACGCCGTGCGAAAGTAGTTCCAAGTCGGAACGACGCCCATGAGCGGCTAGGCACCGCCCCACGGACTCCCACCACCGAAACGTGCCGGGTATCGTATGGATACAGACACGCTATCCGTAGCGTGTGGAGAGAGGAAGAAAGGTAGAGGACCCGGCACGGCACGCGCGCGTCATGCAATGTTTCTGCTTTCTCTTTCTCTCCTCAATGCCCGTTCGTGGGGATACGTGCACTGCCACCTTTGAGGCTAGTAGTGAACTAACCTCGCCAGATCCATTCAGACATTCAAACGACCAACATCAACGAGCTACCTTGCGATTATCGTTATTACGAGAACGACGTCATAAATCGCACTATAGACTGATCGACAAATTATATAAGAAGAAAAGAAACGAATGTAAGAGCAAAATAAAGTATATAATATTCTTATTATTGAAGTGAACACAAATGTAGAAATACTGAATAATGATAAACATTGTATCATAACATATGACAATAAACGTGTACTTGCCAGGTTTATAAATTAATTAGGCGACGTTTGCATAATTAAAATGTCATAAAAAAAAGAAAGTCCGCAAAGTCAGTAGTCAAACGAGCAACTTTACGAGCGCGCGGTCTTACTAGTATTGGGAGTGTTTATTGGGATGTAAATGTCGCTGGATTATCGTCCCCGCGGTTCGCACCTCGTAAATTATTCCGTAACGAGCCGAGTAATGCTCATCATAAGCTGCTCGCCGGGACTGACCCTAGTTATTTGCTTACACGCTCTTGTCTCATTCTCGCTATTCTAAATGCTTAAGATATATTAATGTCATTTGCATTCTTCGTGAAAACAATATGTAGAAATGTAAGATATCTAAAATTTTTCTTTGTTTATTTAAATCAAATTTAATTCCGTACAAAAAAATTTAAATTATAACATTTTAAATACTCTATACGTACAATGAAAAAATATCATTTGAAACATGTTTAAGTAATTTCCAAATTAAAATTTTGCGAATTTTATGTAACAAATCTCAAAAAAGTAGAATTAGTTATGTAAAAAATGACTACCTAAATACGATGTATGCATTTTTTTTTTTTCGTATAAATGTATACTGAACTTGAACGTTACCTGTTCAGTACATGTATATGCATTATTAACAGCTCTACTGAATAAGCACATAAATTACGTAAAAAATTCATTAAGCCCTTAATTTGATAGCCACGTTGATGAAGAAACCTGATGCAGTTTTCGCTTTTGCGAGACTCCGACAGGTGGCAGCCCGTTTGCTTGAAAATCATGACGGCAATAAACTTCGGTTTTATGACCACTTGAACAGAATCGTAAAAGTCAGGGCCTTTAAGCTTATAGCGCGGAAGGGCGCGTGTCGAATATGGTGGGGGCGTGAAGAAAGCCACCATGTATGAATGGGTAAGATGTAAGGTGGGGAAGGTGTGTTAGGACCACATGGATACCCCAAATAGGCCTAAATATCTTTTTAAACTGGCATTTACGACAACCGGTTATCTCTAAAAGATACCTCATTTTGTGACAAGTGTCACTTTTAACCAAACCTGAGCGGATTATCGATAAACACTAATCTATCTGTCTATCGCCTTATCAAAAATTAATTATCGTTGTTAAGTATTTCACATGTGTTTTGTGTAGTGTTCCGCGCGAGAATGAGAAGAAATGTAAGCAGAACAGTACATGTTATGTATATATCGCTAGCTATCAACAGAACGCAGAACGAATGATAAAAAATACATCCGCTCTATAAATTTTAAGTAAAAAACGAAAAACTTGACAGAACTTCGAAGAAAGATTTAGGGAAGCGTAACTATAGCATCGAGTAAGCCAATGAAGAAGGAAGGGGCCATTGCACCCAAAATCTGCACTCTTGCTAAACCAGCATTCATTCTTTATTGCTCTGGTGGTTTTGACTCCTCTGGTTTCCACCATGTGGTTCAACGCACTGCTTGGGCTCTCATTCTGATTGGACATAGTTTTTTTTCTTTCTAAGTTTTGTTCTTCATTTTGCACATTCCTCTTTGCCCAACCTTCGTCATTCTCTCTATCCCAACGTATCGCGAATAAATATTTGATAATAAATTTAAAAATGTATGCACCATACTTGCCATTTTCACGTGATCGATCAAAAGTAAGCGGTTTTTTTCATTTATAAGATTTATATTTTAAATTATTAACAGATAGACCGAAAAAAAATCATATTTCTTCAATCTAGTTTCTTTAATTAGATAATATCACTTTTGTTTAATTTTACGTTGTCTAAAGATCTAATAGTTTTTAGAAAAATATAAATTATTGGCTCAATAATTGATATCGTATATTAGGAACAAGATAGGATCACGAAGCAAGGACCTGGAAGAAGCTTTCTTTGCCATCTGGCGGTCTTTCGTAGTATCACCTGACTGCAATGCTGCAACGAATTTTCTGCAGTTCTTGCAGTCGATCAGAAATTTTATAATAAATATATAAAAATATCATAATTAATCGTCTTTGTTTTCAAATATTCAAAATATGGTTAATGATGATGTTATGGTATAAATCGTTACAAAACCGTTTCATCCGTCGCTGCTGATCCTTTTATTTCTGCATTAAATTACTTATTAATGTTTATTAAATTTTTTGTATACACATATATGTAATGAATAAATAAGACAATCTAAATAAGAATGTCAAAACAAAAATGTTAACAAATACGTATAACAAGTATAATCAAAAAGCACAATAAAAAAACGAGTTTTATGACATTAAAAAGACAGTTAAAAGCTCAACAAGAGTAAATTCACAATAAAAATAAAAGAACGCGCGCGAGAGTACTGCAGTTCGTATTCAATTGTAATTGAAGTCAATCAATTTATTAAAAGACGTACTTATTATAAGCTGTGATCTACTTTATCGGTTGTGAAACTCGTCTCGCAGACACAGCAGACGCTAAGAGGAATATTAGTAGAGATTTTCTCCTTTAAAGACCTTTGAACGCTAGTATATAAACGCTGATAATCACGTAATATATAATTTTTTCGCAAATTTATTGTAACAATAAATAAAATTTAATTAATTTTGAAGTTTTTGCTCAGAGAAGGGCTTCTTTAAAGTAATGTATAATCACGACTAAAGAAAGAAATTTCAGATTTTTGCAATAAAGTTGTTGCAAAACTGTATTGTGTCTGAATAAAAAAAATATAATATAATATGCACGATGCTATTACAACTATTAGTATAGAATGTGTAAGTTAGTTAATTATATGCTATTGCGTAAGAAAACACGTCGAGAAAAATGTATTAGGAAATCAATAACACTTGCAATTAGTATCTTACCTTGTACGTTGAACATGGCATTCTCCATTACTGATTTTCTTGCAAAACAGAAAAGTCCGCCTTAATTCTGGAAACAAAAAATTTAATTTACAAGACTTTACAGCAAAAAAAAATAAAGATCAAACGTTTCTTTTACTTGTGATATTATTATAGTTATAATAATGCTATATTATTTATAATATTAATATTTATTTATGATAATAATTACTCTAGATAATTACTTAAAAGATGTCAGAAACAAATTATTCAGCAATAAGATCATTTAAAAGTGGTTAAGAGAAATCTGTAAATAAAAAAGCATGTGTGCAGAAAATCTCCGAGATAATTAAGTATAAATAGGGTACCTATATAGAAGCTTGTAGATAATAATTCTACGAATGTCTGAACTGTGGATATGTTTACTTTGTATAAAAGTGATCATCGAGATTCAAGCCTGTGAATCCACTGTCTGTATTAAATGAATAATGAACGCTTGATTCTGGGCCTTACAATGATATTCTGTTTGATAAGTACACTGATGCTCTTTGTGCTTTAACTAATACGACATAAGATTAAGGAAGAATTTCTGACAACCGACTACGCAATTCTCGTTACATTAGACTTTTACTTTTATAACATTTAATCTTTTAAGTTTCCAATATTACTCTCAAAAATTTTAAATTTTATTTTGGTTTATAAGACGATACGTCATGATATTTGTTCATCTTGAATATACAATTTTTAGTCTAAACCTATAATTACAATAATATATATTTGTTTGCGTGTGTATAAAATAAACTATACAATAAGAAAAAAAAGATGAGCGAGATGAATTTTTACGGTTAATAAACGTTACCAAATAATCTGCAAAATAACAAAAGTTTTGCAAAATATTATAGTAACAAGCTTAATTAAAACTTTGCTGTATACAATGCAAAATAATCAACCCACTAAGTCTCAATCAGCAAATCTAGTAGCAAGACCACGGGAGTTGAACGTTACGTAACATCGAGTGTGTGTATTAATACTTGTTCCGTTGAACCGTTGAAGACCAAGTCTATAATAACAGTAATGCATTTTCCCACAGCTCAGAGCTTTGGCATGTTGTGCCATACAATCGACTATACGATGTGAATTTGCAATTCAAGCATTCACGAGCGTAACACGAATAAATCGGTAGAAGAGGATGGGAGAAAGTAATAGAACGACATGGCGAAAACGGAGAAACAGAACCGCGACGAGAAACATGTAAAATTTATCTTACGACTGTGCTAGAAATATTTCATATAAAAGCATACAAAATTTTGCAAACCTAGCTGGTTGTTTGTGTGTGTAACAGTCCACACAAACGTAACGTCTATTAGACGTCTACTGAACGTCCATAACTTCACGTGACGTCTAATAAACATCTAATGGAGACGTAATATTGTTCCGTACAAAACTTTTATTTAATATTGAGAAAAGATTTTCTTTTTCTCTTGTCGTTTCTTTTTTGCTCTTCTTAATTTATTACGTATGATAAAATGTATTTTTAAATGGCTTTTAAATTTAAGTGGTAGGTATAAACGAAATTCTCAAATTAGATAAACAAATAATTTGAATTTAAAAAGTTGTTATTTACAAGTATAATGATATTGCTTTTATTGTGCACATCGAGTTTCTTGATATGCAAATATACGTGAAGAAATGAATACGTATAGAAAGATTTTTTTTTCTAAATAGATACATTCCATACAAGTAATTACGTCAACCGCGTATCCGGATATGACGCATAGCATATTTTATGTTAAATAATAGCTTCTCAAACACAACCCTTGAAAACCTTCACATCAAACTGTAACGGTTTAGTATCTACAAAAAACGGCGACGATTTACAACCAAAGTTTTCTTTAATACAATAGACGAAGATAAATGTCTTTATTAGAAGGATCTGCACCGAATTTATATAGGTCAATTTTTTTCATCATAATAATCAGCTTAGATATGGCCACCATGATGATTCCTCTTACGGAGGTTGATTTAAAAGAGAAGAAGGAGCACAAGACCGGGCGGGTCTTATGTGAACGAGAAATGCTCTGAAGGAAGGGGAGTGACTTCAGGTATTTGTACCCCCGGAATATCTCTCGACAACCCCGCCTCCAAATAGTCTCTACTGGACCTTCTTTGCCTAACATTCCTTTTGTAGACATCAAGGTTAAGACTGAATAGAAAAATATAGTATCTTGTACATCAGAAAAATTATACACGTTTCTCGACATTCCAGTCCTCTCGTAGTGTAGTGGACAATCTGATATTAAGCACAGTAATATGTGACAAGAATAAATTACATATTAGAAAAATATTACATCCTATATGTGTAGTTTTAGTTTTTATTTTAAACTATAGTAAAATAATACGAAGAGTAAACAAATATTTATAAAGAATAAACAAATATTTTATAAACATTGAAATCACTATATAAATTGTTATTTAATGAAGAAAATTAAAATTTAACAATTGGCAGAAAGTAAAAGATGATGAAATAGTGAATTTTATGCTGAGAGCGATTTTTTAATCTTTACTTTGCATAATTAATTTTCTAAACATATATATTTTTACACATCTAATTAACTTAAAAGATTGCGCTCAAAATTAACTTAAAAGATACGCTCGAAACAGCGTATTTCATTAACAGAATATGGCAACCATTTCGTAAAACATATTATTTTGAATAAAAAGAATGCAAGGTGTGACTAATTGAAGAGATTAATATTGTGCAAAAAGAGAGAGAGCTGCGAAAGAATTTTTATACAGAGAATATAAACACAAGTAGGCAGTATCAGCGAGCAAAACTGTACTAAGGTCTGCGGAAGAGGGAGATGAATAATGGATGATATGACGTGACCATCACGCGCCCAGGATGGTCTGTAAGAGTTAGCCGTAATGGTTCGTAAATTGGTAAACCACAGAGACAACGAAATCGCCACGCTTGGTTATCTCTAAACGGGGAGTCTGTCATTACACATTTTCCTATCTTTACGATCATGTCGAAAGCACTTGACTAAAATTAGAATACTAGTGAAAAACGAAGAAATGATTCTTTTATAAGAATGTTACAAGCAAATAATGATGATAATTTTATACAAATATTAAGAAATTTGCACACTATTTAAAGAAAACTAATTTAATAAATTTCTTTACTTTTAAAGAAAGGAATGTGTATTCTACGCAATAATCCTTGTATATAAGAATATAAAATTCTATTAATAATTGTTATATAAGCAATTACATAATATTAAGCATAATAAGTTCCGCTTAATATTATGTAATTATGTACAATTGTAATAATTGCTTATAATTCTTCTGCGAAAATAAGTTCTCGAACAAGTAATTACAGTGCAAATTACATTTGAAAGCGCGACACGGACATAAATCGATACAAAAACATGATTGCCGGTGCAAGGTCCTACCGATTATTCCGCGACTGCTGATTCGTACCTACTTAAAGCAATGACGAGACATGAGCATGAACGATATTACACGCGATAACCTTAGGCGCTAACAAGTTCAAGCCGATGACTGAACGTTCGAGATTAGAGAGATAAGTGAGTGCGTAAACGGGTTTCCGGCGCACATGCAAATAACGTAAAACTTGTCAAATATATAACGTCTCTACGTGGAATAAATAATCAGCGAAAAATACAATATAGCGGTCATTGTATCGTGATATTTCGTGACACGCAAAAAGTGACGAGGAAAATAAAATTTCTTCAGTCAAAATCCCTTACGATAACCAATCTCTGAATTTTGATAATTTTGACACGCCAGACACTGTGTACAAACATCGCGCGTCTACTGATAGTTATATTTAAATTAATTGACATGCAATGTGTCAAATGTGATAATATCACTTTGCTGTAGCCGCATTAACCGAGTGATAAAAAGTTTATCGCATAAAGCATGAGTTAAATCAACAAGAATTTCCAGCCATTTCTCATTTTAACACGACCAGTGTTAAAATAGCAACAATAATTATTCGAGAAAGCTGTATAAAAAAATTTAAATGATATTTCGTAGACAGATAGAGAAACGATTTTTTCGTGCAATAGGAAAACTTTATTGTTATGAAGAATATGATAATGCTATGATTGTGTAATGTTCTCGCCATAGGTTGGTAAGGTGCGCGCGAACACGAGATCATAGAAACAATAGACCCTCGCGCGTAGAATCGCAGAACGGGAGATCGTAAATTGCCAAACCGTATTAATAATATATATATGTACGTACGTTACTGCGCATTTACACGGCAACTGCTGCATGCATAATCCTACTAAAACGCGGAACGCGAGCATATTGTTACATTCAGTAGGTGGTAATATCAACAATCGAAAATATGCTTCTTGTTACGTAACATCTGACGGAGAGATGGGGTATATATGTACAAATTTTTACGGTGAGTTATGTACGTGACTTCTCTCGACCAAGTTTATGTAAGATGCGAAACGTTGTAGCGTAGAAACAATAGAGGCAGATAAGATCGCGAAACAGAAGTCGTGGATTAGTCCTAGATATCCTGCGCGTAGGCTTGGACAGGGTCATAGGGGTACGGAGTATAAAAGTGACTCTGTACGTGGGCTGGTGAGCTTTTCATCACGCGGGTTCATCGGGGCCACGAAAAGATCCCGGGAATGCGCACGCTCTAAAGAAGTGCCGAGTGGACCAAGTCAGGAAGAGAATGACAGCTACGAGCTACGCGGGAAACCAATGAGAACGTGATTTCTCTCTCATCTTTCTCTTTTTTTACTGTACAATCTTGGTTTAATTATCATGTCCTCTTTTTCTCACTTACATTTTAAATATTTTTATATACCCAATTATTTTTTTCTCTTCTCTTTTTTTTCTCTTTTTATTTATAAATATGTTATTATTATACTGTTGTTACTTTTAATAATATTTTATTATATATTTTGTTTTTTCTCAATATTTAAAGAAAAAGAAAATTTTAAAAAATTTAAAATTTCTACTGATTATTATTTTTATTTTAGGCGCGATATATTAACGTTTCCTTTTATTTCTCTTTTCTTTTTTTTTCGTATTTATTCTTCTTTTTTCTTCGCACACATTCTCTTCTTTCTCTGTTCCAGCGTCATTTGTAGCCTTCTATTTTTATCTCAGACTGATAAACGTATACACTTTCTTTCTCTACTTTTTTGTTGAATGATTCCTTTTTTCTTAGCACGCCACGTTTTCTTCACTATACAGTAATTATTTCTTTGTTTCTCTCCACGTTCGCTCTTGTTGGCTCATTCTTCGTGATATAAATTTCTTCTCCTCGAATATTTCGAAACTCCGCCTAAGTCGCTGTTATTGTATTCGTCTCACGATGTTTCTTCTTTTTTTTTTTTACTGGTCTTTCACGAAAAAGCATTACAAACAACTTTACAGATTAGTTTAGACTTCCTAACCCTTGTTTATTTCTTTATAGACTCTCATTAATATGTAGATCTATTATATTGTTTTTTTCTCAATAAAATAATTCTAGATGGTGATTTTAATATTTTATGCTAAAAAATTCTTATACGCAGAAACCACACACACTCTCTCCCCGACAGTTAAGTTTATAATTTAATTTTGGTTTTGCTGACAAGCTTATCAAAAATCTGAGAATACTCATTTCGCTACTTGTAAGCAAATACGGCAAAGGCTACGAAAGGAGAGAAAACATTTATCTGATATATATATACCGTGTTTATATAACGTGTGCGATGTTGAAACGTACCGTGAAACTCGAGCTAAAGTACTCGGTGTGTTAGGCAATGAAGTGTAAGTGGATACGTTTTGTGATCTGTTAAAACGCGATAATATCAACGGTTTTTAGTGAGAACGGTGAAAAGTAATCGGTTCTTCTTTTATTATAAATTTCAGTTTTATATGTATTGTAATATAGTTTTTACTTTATACATTATAAATATAACGTTACTTTATACATTATAAATATAATATAACGTTTGTATACGTATAATGTTTTTCTAGAAACTCTGGAAAAACTATACGCAAACAATAAATATATAATAAGTATAAATTAAAAAAGAAAAAAATATATTGTGTCTCAAATTGTTTTAGATTTTTAATAATAACAATTTTGATAATAAGATCGATTGTTTTGCTAAAATTTAAAGTGCTGATATCAGCATAAAACCAGCATGTTCTTATTATTAATTATACAAAAAAAATTAATCATTTATTAATTATAATTATATGTGTCTAAGAAAATAGAAAGTATTTCCATAATATCTATTTTATGTGCACTTACATTAAGGTAATTTTAGATATACACGTAAACATTATTTATCATCAAAAAGAAGAATTGTAGAGATAGAAAATTTAAATTTAGTTTTTAGAAGTATCAATAAACAGATATGCAGAAAATACCTGACGGTAAAGTTGGTAAAGTGAACGTTGTTGCTAGGGTTGCATCACTGGTTACCATGATGCACTGCGCTCAACTGATACACAAGATGGCCGCCCACAGTTTGGGCGTGGTCGTGCTTTACGTCAACTAAAATCTCAATTTTTTAAACTCATAAATACATTTTGAGATATTTTTAAGATCAAAATAGATTTTCTATGCAAAAAATAAACACCATGACGCAATGTACACTGTCACTTTCAGAAACGCTTGACTCGACGTAGTAGTCGCGGCACGCGATGTGGATGCCGCTGCTTGCGTGGCAGCCATCTTGGTGATACTCCCTCCATCATGCGCGTGCGGTCCTCGTATCACAGCCTCTCGTCGCTTCTCTTTTATCTCTCTTTCTCTCCGTTGTGGGCTGTGTTTCTTCTGTCCGCCTTCCTGCATCTTTCGAGTAATATCCAACCATGACAATTTTTTCTGCCGATGCGCGATTTATAAATGTTTCTTCCGTATTTTTACGAGCGCGCGCTAAGTTATTACCTCAAGCAATCGATATTGTCCTACATACTTGACGAATTTGTCGATTTGTATGTGCGTGTGATTTCTCGTTTTTATTAAAATTATTCGTAAGACATTTACATGAATTTAAAGTAAAATATCTACAACTCTTAGCATAACGCGCGCGCGCACAAATAGTCAATATTTTTTTATTTTTATATAAAACAATAAAATACTGAAATATCAAAACACTCATAAGAGTGAAAATCATGACATGAATAATATAAATTCAGTCATGATTTTAACGAAAGACTATCCGCCAAAAATCAGCCGCACGATGCCCCTCTACATATCTCCCCTATTCCGAGACTCAACTCGCTTATATCCCCCATACATCTCTCTGGGGCTAGCCGTCTCTCGACGCTACGGAGCAATGTAGTATTGCAAGCATTTCGAACGAAAGTACGACATATTATAGCGTGCGTGTCACAAAGAAAATCAACGCGAAAGTACGAGAACGCGAACGGTAGTGACGACAATTTTGAAATTCGTGCGCGTCGCAAAGTCGGAATCACCGAAAAGTCAAGCCATTAACAAGCGCGCCGTTGAGGACTCGAAGCGAGGGCAGCGGAAGGAAGCCTGATGGCTTTCAGAACATTTGTGGTAAGTGTGGACGAGTTACGTGGTTGTGTGAGTGCTCTGTTTGGCGGTACGAAGCTGGTTTTCGTCGATGCGGGCCTTCCTATCCCGAGTGAGAGAAGCCGGGGAAGTGAATCCGGCCATCTTGGTTGCTCATATCGTTCTCTCTCGTTCACATACACGCTTCTCGTTACTCCGTCGCGTTCCGCGCCTGCGTATCTCAGCGCCACTGAATTTCTTCTCCTTCTTCGGTGGCATGGTTGTTTTCTTCTTTCCCTTCGTTTTCTTCTTTCCTTTCGTTTTCTTCTTTTGCTTCTTCGTCTACTTCGTTCATCCTTTGACACGTGCCGCCAACCGATTCTCATCGAAGTGCGATACTAATGGCGCGATCCGAATCTAAAGCACGTTCTGGCTACTTAACAATCGGTCTGCTTCAAGCAATTTCCGATATGTATGCACAGTCAATTTTATATCTTTTTAAATTGTAGTTTCTTTTAATTTTTTGCATTAACATGTACAGATAATACGTTTGTAAGTTTAATGCGACATGCTTCATGTAGTTTGCGTAGTATTTTTTCAAATAAATATACTAAGTAAAATACGAAACATTATAACTCAAGATTTCATTAGCTCTTAAAAATATTACACAACAATGCATCGTAAATTTCAATACTAATAGCGCAACGCCACTTTCATAATACGAATAAGAACATATACTTTGTTCGCAGCAAATATTTTGCAAATGTATTAATAGCTCGTTTAACGATGTGCAACGAGTTAAAAACCTCGTTGGTTAATTATTTCGCTTTCACCTACGTCGGGACAGACTAATGCCGTGTATATGTTCGATAACGCGATCATTTATTATGCCGCTGATAGAATTCCAATGTTCGTTAATTTATCCCACCGCGACTAACAGGTTTGCAAATTAAATATATGGTGGTTTTATTACGAAGTGGATTGATTCGATATGCGTATCAGATAATTGATAAACATTAAAGAAGGAACAAGTAATGGCTGCCATATTCATGACTAACTAATTATTTTATTATTTTGAGCATTAATTATGCGTACTTGTGCTATTTCTTATAACTCGACTTAACATTGATTTAACCTTCTGTCACTTAGTGTTTTTTATCTTTGTTTTTTATTTTTGAAAAAAGACAGTGAGATTAAATATATATTATTGAATTAAATATATATTATTGAAATAAACGTATTTAAACAAAGTAAAACACAATCACAAAGAAAAAATGATTTGCAGAAGTGAAGCAAAATAGTTAACAAGTACGTAAACAAATATCTTCTAAGCGTTGTTTATTGTTTGCAAAAATGTCAATTTAAATATAATGGAAAGTGATGTCGATAATAAAATATTTCACACCTAGCGGGACGTTAAAGCTTCTCCACAACGCGCCTCTGCCATTAACTCCGAACACAGCGTGCTCAGACTTACTGCATATTGATCTCATCAATCCTATCTTCTATCTACCCCGGTCTTCTCCCTTCTGTCTTCCTCTTTCCCTTTCCTCGTATCACAACTGACGCGCGGTACCATTAAGCTTGTAAATAATACTCGATCAATACTTCGGGAATGAATATAATAACTACACAAAATTGTATATCGTATTTCACGAAACAATAACATTTTTTTTCATGTATTTATATTGCTTGTAAGGGAAAACTCAAGAAAAACGATTGCAATAACCATAAAACTATGATTAAGTATAACGATGCGCTGTACTAAACTTATTCTGGAAAAAGCTTTTAAGATTTAAAGATGCATAAATACGCCTTCTCAAGTATAAAGGTAACAATATATATTTTATAGAAAAAATTTTGAAATTGTAAACTATGAAACTACTTTCGAATCAATTTTTATTCTTTATTATTACGGTAATTAAAAGAGTAAATGAGAAAGAAAGAGATAAAAATTTAAAGATAGAAATGTATGAAGTAAGATAGAAATCAAATTTAAGGTAATTACTATAATGTAAGAAAAAACGTTTATTCTGAATTGTATTTTAACATACGCGTTTGCATTTATTAACAAAAAGGAGAATGCAGCCGGCAGTTTTTTCTCGGAAGGTGTGCTAGCAGATAACTTCGAGCTAACAGGCGGACTCGATTTCGCGGCGCGAAACATCGCGAATAATCCGTGACGTGGTAACGACGAGAACGGCCAATCTGGTTGCACTTTTATGCGCTGTTTGGCACACGAAACGCACGTCGCGCCTATAAAACGCATAAAACGTCAGGTATAAGTGGCCGGCACGCTCTCTCCCAACCGAACCTCTTAAACCGCGCGCGCGCGCGCGCGCGCTCGACGCGCGAATCCAGTAAAAGTTGCCTTTTGTTTGATAGCTGGCTAAATCGGCCCGGCAACCCCCTAATGCGTCATTACTGTCGGACTTTACGGCTGCCTCGTATCATTTCACTTAGGTATATTGATATGGCAACGAGTTCTCGACCTACCCCAACATCGACAATCTTACCGTGCTATCTACAAGATGTTAGTCACATAAAAAGTGCGTTTTACGTATAATTTCCGCCACGCGGTGCGTATAACGGAACGAGTTGATTTAATTTATTTATCTAGACTATGAATTCTCGACAAAATATCAACAAAATAGTGAGCTAATTTTATTGATAATTTATCGGTTTTTACTTTCTGCTTATCAGTATCGAATGAATACTAAAACGAGGTTGTTAAACGGTAAACTAAAATAATATTTATAAATTACAAAACACTTTTGCACACAGAATGTTGAAAACATCTTGCGTTTGTGTGTGAATTGTTTTACCTAAATGTTATTGTGAAACATTCCACAGACCGTTGTCGCTTATCCATGACGTATAAATTAAATGACTTGTTTTGTGTTCTCGATTGCTGAACAACCTCGTATACTCCTTACTTAACAGCTGTTTATCTTATAACCCAGACAAGAATGTGTGACAAATCTATAAATACTTCAGAACGCAAGATGTTTTGCGTTTTGATTCTCACAGCGTGTATTGTTATAAAAAAAACTAACAAATATATATATAAACTTTTGAAGCTAACATTGAAAATATCAAGATATGATATAAATCATATTACAACTTTCTAATTTATCGAAAGTTAAAATTTAAATACACACGCATATCTCTTTTGTTATTTCTTACCTGCGAGTTACCAGTGACTTATTATTGTATTGTAACTTATTATTGTATGTCTGCATTCCACCAGTAAAACTAAAATAAAAACACACACACACAACCTTATTTAAACAAATCATTATATCTTTCTAATTACTGTTTCACTAATGAAAACACGATTAATACACATACACATACACACGCGCGCGCGCGCACGAGTTATATTAAAATAAATAAAATATTTTCAAAAAGCACATCTACCGATAATGTTACATTCGCGTAGGTTGAAAGCAAACTGACTTGGTATATAACTCAACTAACTCTTCAAGCTCAACCCACAATCGAACGTTGTCCTTGGAAAAAGGATGTTTAGAAAAGGATGAGAGCAAAAACTCAAACGACCTAAGGCAAGAAATTGTGGGGTTTACGAGAGGTCGCACTTGGCACAGAACATTTTGCTAAGTTTATACGAGTGGTGTATCCGACGGACCCAGAGACCGATTTCTGTCCCGGTAAGTTAACAAAACATGATTCGCATCATTTTTAATTTGTAGTTGCTCACAAATAATTTTATTATTCATTTGCCGTCTCAATTTGTAATCCAGCTTTCAAGCATTTTCAGACGCGGTTTCTAACATTTTGTTTTAGTTCACTCGCAAACAAACATAGTATTTTTTTAATATTCTACAATTTTTAAATATTATTTATTTTGTATTAATACGCGCAAAATTGTTTTAAGAACTTTATGAAATATGCAATTTTTAATAGAATGTCAAACTTTAATTGCATTGTATGTAAAACAAATTTGTTTCTAAATCTCTGTACAATAAATTATATTTTATATTATATATAATAAAATATAATAAGATATATATATATATATTACGAGTATAGATTTATATACGTGTACACATAATTATAATGTATTAAACATACACAAATGTTTTTTTTTCATAAAGAGAAAAATTATAACATTTTTTAAAATTATCTAATATTTAAAATGTTTGTCAAGAGTCGGAAATTAAGACTTAATTATTTCAACAAGTGAGGCGTTAGTGACAAACTTACAAATTTACTGTTTTACTCTGCCGTTTTTAACCGTGACTGACCCTTTTTGGGCTGTCATAAACTTGTTGCGCTGTCACCCCGTTCAATACTAAAGATCCCTTCTTAACAACTCTCGAAAGACTTGTGACCCTCTGTATTTTTTAAATCCGACGCAGGACACTGTGAAGAAAACCGCACTATTGAAGGAAGTAGCTTTTCCCTCGCGAAGTTTTAACAGCCATCCTTGAAAAATGAGAGAATTCTTTACTATTTCGTAAATTTATTAATAGTTTATTTTCAAAGATCTTTTTTGTGGTTATATTGATGATAGAAAGAAGGATGCACGCACGACCTTTCGAAGTTTTTTTCGCACCCTCTCTATTTTTCTTTTTTTTTTTTTTTTTCAATTTCGTCGGCGAGTCTCGCTCAAGTTGGACGTTTTTTTTATCGCGTAAAAGAAGTTTCTGCTTTAAAGCGACGGTGCATCATTGATAATATGAGGACTAGACTGTCTCAAACCGCGTGCTCTCGTTCTGATATTCTGTTCGTAGACATGCTATTTTGAAGAGAGTGTTTTCTTGAATCTTGACAATTCTCGAAACAAGTTTATCACGAAACAACAGTAGTTTTTTTGCAGTGGTGCTTTGTTATGTGGTGCAGAGAGTAAGTCTAAAAATATGTGTATATTGCATATGTGTGTCTGTATATTTATCGTGTACACGTCAACACGGACGCGACGTTCTCTTTCGCAGGTATCATACTTTAAATAGAAGTAGGAAATATTGCAAATACTGTAAAAGAAAATTGCTGTAATCAGCTAAAAAGTCAATTTCTTAAAA